GGTCTTAAAAGGTTGTGAGCAGCCATCTAAGATACTCCACCGGTCTCACCCTTTGGGAGCAAGGGAGAACGAAGAGAACAAGATACAAGGAAAAGATTAGTCCAAAGGACTAATGGACCACAGCTACCATGGCCTCCACCAGACTGAGTACAGTACAGCTAGATGGTGCCCAGCTACCACCACTGACTGCTCTGACAGGGATCACAATAGAGGGTCCTGGACAGAGCTGGAAAAGGACGTAGAACAGAATTCTAACTCACACACACACAAAAAAAAGACCAGATTTACTGGCCTGAGAGACTGGAGAAACCCCAAGAGTATGGGTCCTGGACATCCTTTTAGCTCAGTGACGAAGCCCCTCCCGAAGTTCACTGTTCAGCTGGGGATTGAACAGCCTCACAAAACAGAACAGGACTAATGAGGCACAGCAGTCCTGGGACAAGGACTAGAAGGCAGGAGGGGACAGGAAAGTTGGTGGGTTGGTTGAGAAGGGACAGTGCTGACATGTCATGGGGTTGTTAACCATTGTCATAGGGAAATATGTGTGCTGTTTAATGAGAAGCTATTTGTTCTGCAAACCTTCATCTAAGGTACCAAAAAAAAAAAGAGAATTATCTATATGAGATCAGATTGACAACAGCGACTCAAAAGGTTTGATGGGAAGCCTAGGGGACAGTGAGTTGAAGATAATGGTGATGGAATAATCTGGAAAAGGATAGTGAGAATAGCAGCCAAGCTGGAAGAATGTAACTGATGTCACTGAATTGTACATGTAGAAACTTTCAAAATGGTGTAACTTTGGCTATGTATATTTTCACCAAAAAAAGTTCCTCAAGGTTGAGGTAGGAGAGTGTTGACATGTCGTGGGGTTTTTAACCAATGTCATAAAACAATATGTGTACTGACTGTTTAATGAGAAAATATTTGTTCTGTAACCCTTCATCTGAAGTACAATAAAAAAATTTAAAAAAGAAAGAATTCCTCTAAAATCCAATTGACAGTGAAAAGATGGTCCGCAGAATGAGAGAAAGTATTTGCAAATACTTTCCCTGATAAGGGACTTATATCTAAATATATAAAGAACTTTTTACAACTCAATAATAAAAAGATAAACATTCCAACTAAGAAATGGACAAAAGATCTGAATAGACATTTCTCCAAAGAACGTATATAAATGGCCAATTGTTGTTAGGTTGTTAGATGCTGTGAAGTCTATTTTGACTCATAGCGACTCCATGGGACAGAGTAGAACTCTGAGTAGAGTAGGAAAAAAAAAGAGTTTTCTAGACTGAAAGAGAGATTGCCAGGTCTTTCTCCTGCGGACTCGCTGGGTGAGTTTGTACTGCTAACCTTTTGGTTAGCAGCTGAGCACTTAATTGTTGTGCCACCAGAGCACAATAAGCACATATTGTGACCAATAAGCACATAAAAGATGTCCAACATCATTAGCCACTAAGGAGATGCAAATTAAAACCACAATGAGATACCACTTTGCACCCACTCGGATGGCAATAATCAAAAAGACAGATAATAACAAGATGTTGGCTAAGATGTACAGACACTGAAACCTTCGTCCATTGCTGGTGGGACTGTAAAATGATGCAGCCTACATGGAAAATAGTTTGGCAGTTCTTCAAAGTGTTAAATGTGAAATTACCACATAACCCAGAAATTCCACTCCTACTTATATAGTCTAGAGAAATAAAAACGTGTCCACACAACACTTGTACATGAATGTTCACAGTACCATTATTCATAATACTCAAAATGTGGAAACAACCCAAGTGCCTATCAATAGATGAATGAATTAAAAACAAGTGGTATAGCTGTACAATGGAATATTATTCATCAATAAAAAGGAATGAAGTTATGATACATGCTACGACATGGATAAACCTTGAAAACATTGATAAAGCCAGTCACAAAGACCATATATTATATGATTCCATTTATATGAAATGTTCAAAATAGGCCAATCCATAGAGACAGAAGGTAGATTAGTGACTGCCTAGGGCTGGTGGATGAAGCCAGTGGTGGTTCAGTGGTAGAATTCTTGCCTTCCCTGCAGGAGACCCGAGTTTGATTCCGGCCAATGGACCTCATGCACAGCCGCCAGTCATTTGTCAGTGGAGGCTTGCATGTTGGTATGATGCTGAACAGGTTTCAGTGGAACTTTCAGACTAAGATGAAATAGGAAGAAAGGCCTGGTGATCTGCTTCTGAAAATCACCCAGTGAAAACCCTGTGGATCACAACAGTCCAATCCTGTTGTGCATGGGGTTGCCATTACTTGGGGGTGATTGGATGGCAGTTAACAGCAACAACAGGGGTGGTGGGGGCAGAATGGAGAGTGACTGCTAATGAGTATCTTTTTAAGGTAATGAAAATGTTCTAAAATCAGTTATGGTGATGGTTACACAACTTTGTGAATATACTAAAAACTATTGAATTGTTCACTTTAAATGGGTAAATTGCATGGTATGTGCGTTATCTCTCAATAAAGCTGTTCTTTTTTAAAAACAAAAACAAAACACTGCTCAGAGAATTTAAAGATGATCAAAACAAACGGATGAGTATGTATAAAAAATTCGATAGCAGGGCAGGTCAGTTCCTAGACCCCTTCCAAGGCTCAGATCAGTTTCCTCCTCCTCCCATACCAGCCTTGCCCAACTGGTTCTTATTTTTTCCTATGCTCGGGCCAGAGGGCTCTTTCTTCTTTTCTCTCCATTGGTTGCCAGACACCATTCTTTCCATCCCTTGGGACTATTAGCTCCAAAGCTCGTCTGAGGCCTAACACTGGGGTTTCTGAATAACCCCTTCCTTGTCAGGCAGGGGTTGCTCCATGGGAAAGTACTTCTGCTCTGGACTCTGTCAGAACTAGTTTTGAAAACTAGCTCTACTGTCAGTGACTAGAGGGTATGAACTTGGGAGATTTATTAAACCTGTAAAACCTGGTTTCCTCATCTGCAAAATGAGGACATAACAATTGTATTCACTTCCCAGGGTTTGTGAGGACTGAGTGAGACAAAGCTTCTAACTCACTTGGCCAGGGCCTGGGGAATTTTAGGGCTCAGTAAGTACTTTTGTCATTTGATTTTCTAAAGTGGAACACTCAGGTCTCCTATCTTTTTAAGGGTTTCATCATCAATTACAATAAAGCAAATGATTACAGGGAAAAATAGATGATATTACAACAAATAAAATATGTAGGGAAGTTACAAAATTTACAAAGTCCTGAGAGTGTATTTAAAAAAAAAAAAGTGAAACTTCTCAGCTTGTAGTTCTTGACTTTCATTCAGGGCTTCGAACCGGTTCTTTCCGGTTCGGTCATGGCCAAGGAAGTGACACTGCAACAGACTCAAATCTTTAAAATTTGGGTGAACCAGAACCGTAACTGGAATGGGAAAAATTACAGGTCAAAGCCCTGACAGAAACTTAATCCCCCTCTTGGAAAACAAGGGCAGCGTACGTGTTGCATAGCAACCAAATCTCTTGCTCGTTAGAATTCGCATAGAGTCAGAAACAGTGGTGCCCTGCTTAAAGATGGCAGCCACTGTGACACTTTGTCCTGGAAATAATTCAATCTCATGCATCTGGCTCCTGAAAGAGTTCACTACGCCTCTTTTTAGTCTCCCATTCCAGGGCTTCGACACATAATTTTTCCTGTTCCGATTATTGTTCTGGATGACCCAAATTTATAAAATTTGAGTCTTTTCTGGTTTCACTTTGTCAGGCATGACTGAACTGGTTTGAACCAGTTTGAAGCCCTGCCTTCATTCAACATTCAGTCGACACTTGTGTGGTAGATAGAATAATGCCCCCAAAGATTCCACATCCTAATCCCCAGAACCTGTGACTATGTTAACATATGTGGCAAAAGGACTTCACAGATGTGATTAAGTTAAGGATCTTGAGATGGAGAGGTTATCCTGAGTTATCTGGGCAGGCCCAGTATAATCACAGGGGTCCTTATAAGAGAGGCAGAAGGGTCAGAGAGAGAGGGGAATTTAAAGATGCTATGCTGCTTGCTTTGAAGATGGAGGAAGGGGCCACCAACCAAGAAATGCAGGCAGCCTCTAGAAGCTGGAAAAAAACAAGGGAACAAATTCTCTGCTGCAGCCTCCAAAAGGAATGCAACCCTGCTAACTCATTTTGGAGTTCTGACCTCCAGAGCTGTAAGATAATAAATTTGTATTGTTTTAAGCCACTAAGTTTATGGTAATTTGTTACAGCAGAAACTAATCAGAAACAAATACAAAATGTTTACTGAGTGTGAGTCATCAGGCCAGGGTAGATTGTGGGGCTAGGGATGGGGTATAGGCAGGGTGATAGCCCTTACAGAGCTTATAGTTTGGTTGGGAAAAGAAATATTAACTAGATAATCACAGCTGCAGTAATGGATGTGGAGGGTGCCTTGGAAGTGAAGAGTAGGGATCTAACCTTGCTGGAGGTAAGGGAAGTTAATGACATTTCAGGGAGACTTCCAAGAAGACAACTGGGAACTTTGAGGACTTGTTGCTCTCAACTCTTATTTCTGATAGTGGAGCTCATGCACTCACCCTCTGTCCTTAGGTAAAGCCTTCTGTTTCCTTCCTTCTAAGGCTTCTCTTCCCAGCAAGAAGAAGCCATCAATGTAATTTGTATCTCTGAGACCTCCAGAAAAGTTCACCAGGCCTCTGTTGCCCCAGCCTGCTAATGATTGTTTTTAGGGAATTTCATCTATCATGTCTGGAACACTGAGATTTCAGATGTAAACTATAAAACTGTAAGTACTTAGGCCAGTAACACCCATAGCTGAGAGTTACAGTCCCATGAGAAATCACTTTAATGAACAAAGGTTGATCTTGGTCACTACAGTAATTAATATTTTTGTTCTTTTCTCCTTTTTAAAAAATTTTTCTTTTAAAAAAAAACATGGAATGCTTCATGAATTTGCATATCATCTTTACACAGGGGCCATGCTAATCTTTTCTGTATCGTTCCAATTTTTGTATATGTGCTGCCAAAGCGAGCACTATTTTTCCTTGTTTGTTTGTATTAGTCTGCCTAAATACCAATATAAGGTGGATAATATTTTTAAAGAAGTTTTTAATTTTAGAGTAGGTTTAGATTTACAGAGAAGTTACTAAGACAGTACAGAGAGATCCCATATTGCCCTCACCCAGTTTCCCTTACTGTTAGCATTTCACATTACTGGGGTATAGCCGTCAAAACTAAGAAGTCAACACTGGTGCATTACTATGAACTAAACTTCACATTTTATTTTGATTTTACTAGTTTTTCAACTAATGTCCTTTCTCTGTTCCAGGATCTCATCATTACATTTACTTGTCTCTTCTGGCCTGAGATAATTTCTTAGACTTTCTCATTAAACAATTAATACACATACTGTTTTGTGACATTGGTTATCAACCCTACAACATGTCAATACTCTCCCGTTCTCAATCTTTAGTCTCATTTTGTTTTATGGGCCTGTCTAATCTTTGGCTGAAAGGTGAACCTCATGAGTGATTTCAGTATTGAGTTAAAAGGGTGTCCAGGGGTCATACTCTCGGGGTTTCTCCAGTCTCTGTCAGATCAGTAAGTCTGGTCTTTCTTCGTGAGTTAGAATATTGTTCTACATTTTCCTCCAGCTCTGTCCAGGACCCTCTATTGTGATCCCTGTCAGAGCAGTTGGTGGAGGTAGCTGCACAACATTTACTTGTCCTGGACTCAGTCTGGTGGAGGCTGTGGTAGTTGTGGTCCATTAGTCCTTTTGACTAATCTTTCATTTGTTGTCTTTGGTTCTCTTCATTTTTCCTTGCTCCAGCTGGAATGGGACCAGTGGCATATCTTAGATGGCTGCTCACAAGCTTTTAAGACCCCAGATGCTACTCACCAGTAGCGTAGATGTAGTAGGCTATAGAACATTCTCTTTATAAACTATGTTATGCCAGTTGAGCTAGATGTCCCCCAAGACCGTGGTCCCCAACCCTCAGCCCAGTAATTTGGTCCCTCAGGGAGTTTGGGTGTGCCTATGAGGCTTCCATGACCTTGCCTTGGTCAAGATGTGCTGATTTCCCCAGTGTTGGGTACTGTCTTACCCTTCACCAAAGATACCACTTATCTATTGTCTATTTAGTGTTTTTCCGTCCCCACCACTCCCCTCCCTAGTAACCATCTAAGATTGTTTCTTTCTGTGTGTAAACCTTTTCGTGAGTTTTTATAATAGTGGTCTCATACACTATTTGTCCTTTTGTGATTGACTTATTTCACTCACCATAATGCCCTCCAGATTCATCCATGTTGTAAGATGCTTCCCAGATTCATCATTGTTCTTTATCTTCGTATAATACACCATTGTGTGTATGTACAATAGTTTGTTTATCCATTTATCCATTGATGGGCATCTAGGTTTTTTCTATCTTTTTGCTATTGTGAACAGTGCTTCAGTGAATGTGAGTGTGGATATGTCTATTAGTGTGATGGCTCTTATTTCTCTAGGATATATTCCTAGTAGTGGGATTGCATTTTGTAGTGCTTTTTTTTTTTT